GGGGTTCGTGGCCCCTCCCCCACCCCCCTACTCCTGCCCCCCCTCTCCCCCCCAGGACCTCCCTGCCCCCATCCCTGCCCCCCCCACCCCCCCGGTCCCCTGACTGCCCCCTGCCACCCCATCCAACCCTCCCCCCCTTCCTGACTGCCCTCCTGGGACCCCGCCCCATCCAACCACCCCTTCTCCCTGTCCCCTGACTGCCTCCGGAACCCCTGCCCCTGACTGCCCCTCGCTGCCCCATCCAACCCCTCCTCTCATTCCTGACTGCCCCCCCGGAACCCCTGCCCTCCCTGTTCCCCCACCCTCTGACCGCCCCGACCCCTGCCTGCCCGCCCCCCCGAACTCCTCTGCCCTCTATCCAATTCCCCTACCCCCTTACTGCGCTGCCTGGAGTACTGGTGGCACTACAGCCGCGCCACCCGGCTGGAACCAGCCATGCCGTCGCCACCGTGCAATACAGAGCACTGGGTCAGGCCGGGCTCTGCAGCTGTGCTGCTCCAGAAGCTCGCAGCCCCGCCACCCAGAGCATTGCGCTGGCGGCGGAGCAAGCTGAGGCTGTGGGAGAGGGGGAACAGCAAGGGAGGGGCCGGGGGCGAGCCTCCTGGGCCAGGAGCTCAGGGGCGGCCCGTGGGCTGTAGTTTGCCCACCTCTGATATAGACACATTAGATTTCATAATAGTATGTTTATTGTACATTATGGGAGCACTGGTGTTGTGTTACAGCGATAAAAACAAACCTTATTCTCTTAGCTCTTGGAGAAAGTTGCTGTAAATAAATAGACAGTGTTGTAATTGTGAAATTTTACATTATTCAGTTTTTAAAACATAATTTTCATCATTTATTTTCTCTGTTCTTCCTTTTTGTCTATGACTCTGCATCGTCTTTCTAAAACCTATACACAGTAGTGTCATTACAGTGCTTCCCCAGTAGCCCAACAAATACAAAACTATTTTACTGGATATTTAAAATTCCTGTTGGGGGCTGTTTATTTTTTACACTTGAGAATTTTTAAAACAAAATGAAATCTACAAATCAGTTAGCTTGTGAGAGTACTAGCCAGGACTTGACAGAATAAATGCTGGTTGGACTATGGGTTCTTCTGTTTTGTTCCAGTGCTTGCATGAACTTAATTTTTGCTATTAAAAAGAAAAAAAGTAGGAGAGCAATACTAACTTTCATTTTTTTTCCAAAGCAAAATTAAACCTACAAGCTCTTGAGGGCAAAACCAAAATTTTGGTCATGTTTGAGGGAGAGAAGGAGCAAATATCAAGCAGCTGGGAGCTGAAGTGAGGAGGCAGAATCATCTATAGTTAGTAATAGGAAACAAGACAAAAGGGAGCAAGCAATATCTGCAAGGCAGGTGCCCCTTATCCCTTTTAATTTAGGCATTTTTTATGTTCTCAGCTTTTTTCTGTTTTAAAAGCACAAAAGTTATTTATTTATTTATTTTTGTTTTTTTAGGTGAAACAATTGCACAACTTACAGATGTAGCTAACTTGGATCATCCAGAATATGATGGCCGGATAACAATTTTTACAGACAAAACAGGAGTAGTAAAAGCTGCAAGATTGCTGCTTTCGTCAGTGACAAAGGTGCTGGTGCTGGCAGACAGAATAGTTATTAAACAAATTTTATCTTCCAGAAACAAGGTATTTGTGTCTTTTGTTATTCCTGAAACTATATGTGCTGGAGATGTGAGAGAATTTGGTACAAAATGAAGTAATACTTTGCATTACACTTAGTATTAAAGAACTATGTTTTTTTCCTCCTTAGTTTAACTATATATATATTTTAAGAGAAGAAACTGTGAAACTTGTAAGAAAAAAAAAGTCTATTTAGATTCTTTATTTCAGGAAATACTGAATCAAGAGACTTTAGGTCACATTTGCAATTAACTTGTCTTATATACTTTGCTTTATATTCTCTTGTCTGTCAATATGGCTACATTTGTTTAATCTATTAGTGGCACTTCTTGGGGTTGGGGGGAACTAATACAAAATAGTTAAATATTGCCACAAGGTATCCTACCCAGTGTGTGAAGAGTGGTTATTGTTGGGCAAGTGTCTAAAGTTATTTTGATGACTTTGAGCATTGTGTCAAAAGACTTGAGGTGCTATTTTGTGAGGAGAAAGATGAGGTGGTGTGTTAGTGTTCATTTACTTTGGCACGGAAAAAAATTGGCTTTTGTATTTTCTGTTGGGTGCAAAGGATGGCTGTTGTAAAATGGCCAATGAAAATCTCTCTTCTGTTAGATCCAACAGGACATTTTTAAACATGTTTCCACCAACTGTCAGCAGCAAGGCAAAGAGCACATTCTCAACCGGTCAGAAGTAAAGAGCTGAGGAGGATCCAGAAGCTGAGGCTGGCTGGATGAATGGAGAGGAATGCTAATAAGCGAGTCCATGTCTGCTTTTTAGATTGAAATAAATATTTTATGAGACACAAGGTAGGTGAGGTGATATCTTTTTTTATTGGAGCAATAGAAATTGGTCCAATAAAAGCTTTAAAGTTTCACAGAGCTCTTCCTCAGGTCTGAAAAAATGTAACCAGAATGTCTCAGCTAAATACAAGGTGGGTCACATTGTTAAGCATAAGGGGTTCACATATGTTGTAGACCACCACTTCAAATAAAGTGGGCAGTTAAGCTCCCAGGCTTGTCTTTTGAAGGTGTTGTACAGGTTTCCTTTGAGGACAAGGACTGAGAGGTCAGCTATGGAGTGATCAAGTGTGAAAAGTGTTTTCCTATGGATGATAGGGTGTTCTTGTCTTGTTTTTCTGTGGTCTGTGTGTAGTGATTGTGTGGCTTCAACCACATAGTTGTTGTTTGGGGTCTTTAGTGTATTGGACGAAGTATACCACATGTTGTTACAGGCATGTGTAGGACCATTTAGTTGGTGGTGGTCCTGCTTTGAGCAGGGGGTTGGACTAGATGACCTCCTGAGGTCCCTTCCAGCCTTGATATTCTATGATTCTATGACCAATGGCTCTTGAGGGTGTGTTGGGAATGGGGAGTATTGATCATTGTAGCAGTGGAGATATGACTCCAGATGCAGGTTTTGCATCCTTGTTTGTGCCAGAGTCTGATACTGCTTTGAGCTGTGATGCCTTAGTAGATGGGGAACTTGTTTCGGTTGAGGGTCACGAGGCTGGGGGGTTGTTTGGCAGTCAAAAGAGGGAGTTTGGGAAACTTTTTTTGCAGGTTGTGGTTCCTGTGGGTTGTAATTGTTTGATACCTAAGCCCCTTAGTTTAACTCCAAACTGTTTTTACCAAAAAATTCCCAGGTTTTACAAAAAGTATTCATTTTTTTTCTGATTTTTTTCACCCTACTTTTATATCATTTAAATATATTAAAAATAACTTGTTTTATTAGGAAAATACAGTACATTGCATGAGATATATGTATTATGATAATACATTAGTCTGTGTGTGTATATGCAAAGCTGCCTGTTGAAGTAAGGCTATGTATTAATCTAGAAGATACACACAATAAACAAACAGGCACGCATGCAAGCTCTGAAGTGTGTGCACATTTGAATGTACTGATGAATCTCATGCCCACCACATACACATTTTGAACTGTTAGCAGATAATGGTTTAAAGATTTAACACACTAAAATGGGAAGAAAATGAAAATCTGTATGAGAATAAGTTTCAGAACACAAGGAAGTATTTGAAAGTTTTAAAAATTACAAAAACAGGAGAAAAGGATGAAGTTGAGTTTATACGCTTCAAATGTGTGGCCCAATTATTAAATGTAAATATTTATAGGCTAATAGTTCTAAGTCTATAACAGTAAACTGTTTATTCAAATGAAAAGTTTTATTTGGGGATTAGAGATGGCATTGTTTTAGTTCTGCAAGAAACCACATTGATGAATGGAATTCAAAGCATTAATCTACTGAATACTCTTTTTCCGTGTCTTTCCATCCACCAAAATAAACCTCAATATTTACCCAGAAAAATTAAGTTTTTTGCACTGATTTTCACTTGTTTTTGCTGCTGTGGTAATAAACTGATAAATTCCCAGGAAAAATTAAAATAAAAACTGAAAACGAAAGGCCCTAATAATACCTCATTTGTGTTTTAGTGTGGGGTGGTAGGTCACAAATAGAGGTATGTGGTCAGTGATTTCCCCCTGTTCCCTGCCTTATGGAGGCTGGCTCTTCTGGGGTATTTGGATGGCATATTCCACAATGTGATCTACTTCCCTCATTGAGTGTCTTTGTTTGGTGAAGGCGGGTTTAAGTGTGTATCTCAGACTTTCTCTTCAGAGCAAAGTTCTGTGGTATGTGAGTGCCTGGCTATAAACAGATTTCTTGATGTGTCTGGGGTGATTGCTGGACCCGTGGAGGTAACTGTGGTTATTCATGGGGTTTTTGTATATGGTTGTCCGTAGGGTTCCATTGTAGAAGCTGATTGTGGTGTTCAGGAAGTTGATTCTGGTGGGAGTGTTCTTGAAAGAGTTTGGTGGATGTGGGTGGAGGTTGTGAAAGTTGTGGTGAAAATGTGAGGAAGGTTAGGTTATCTTTCCAGAGGATGAAAATATCAACAGTTTATCTCAGGTACATCGTTGGCTTTGGGGTGCATTTTTCTAGAAATTCTCCCTTGAGGTGGCCCATGAAGAGGCTGGCATATTGGGGAGCTATGCTAGTACCCATGGCTGTTTTCATGGTTTGGGATGTTTGGTGTATATCTCCATTTTGGCAAGGATGGTGTTCTGGGGGAGGTTGTTAGCATTGCAGAGTTTCGGAAGGAAGTTGCTAGTGTCTTGGTGGAAACTGCCCCTTTGTGTGATGGGTGGTTTGAGGATGGCTTCTGGGTCCTGATATTCCTTTGTAAGAGTGCTGTGGCCAGATATGATGGATCTCCCTGGGTCTTCCCTTGTTTATATACCTTGGGAATCCTGTAGAAGGTTCATGGGGGATGAGGTGTAAAGTTTTTCTTGAAGTTGTTTGGGGAAGATTCGATGGTATCTTTAAATTCCTGTCTAAATAGTGGTGTGGGGTCATCTGAGTTCTTTGTAGTTGGTGATGTTGGAGAGTTGTCTGTTAGCCTCGTTAATGTAGACTTCACGATTAAGGACTATGATGGTGTCCTGTTTGTCATCTGTTCTTATCACTATATGGGACTGGATTTCAGGGACTTGTGTAGCTGTCCTCTTGGTGTTGGAGAGATTGTGGTGGATGTAATGTTTGTTGAGGGTTTTACAATTGATTCCCCCCCTCCCCCTCAAGCAATGTGTTTCTGTCTGCTGGCATGTGTCCAGTCAATGATTGTTTTTTCTTATGACTATGTTTGGGTATGTGGTAGTTGTAGGTGGTGTTGTCTTGTTGTGAAAGAATTCCTTGCAGTGGAGTCAGCATAAGAATTGTTCTAGATCTCCACATGTTAGTATGGTATCAGGTTTTGTGCTGGGGCAGAAGTCTCTTGAAGTCTTCAGTCCCTTGAAGAGTCTGAACTCTGTATTTCAGTCTGGTTGGGGTAGTCATGTTAGGTTGATGACGTTGGGGTATCATATCCATGTGGTTGGTCCTGGTGTCATGGTTTCTCCTGGAGGTGGTGGTCTGTTGGCTGTTGAGTTGTTGTAGTTGGTTCTACTTTTTGATTGTGTTGAATGGCATTTTTTTGATAGCGGTGTAACTTATCCAGTGCATCAGATGCCCCAAGAACAACTATGTGGATGAAACCAGACAATCACTATGCTCTTGAATGAACACTCTCAGGAAAAATAACCCCAAATTCTATTACCAATGGGCGAACATTTTTCACAAACTGATCACTCCATACATGACCTCTCACTCCTCATCCTCAAAGGAAACCTGCACAACACCTTCAAAAGATGAGCCTGGGAGCTTAAATTCATAACTCTGCTGGAAACTAAAATGAATGGACTGAATAGAAACACTGATTTTTAAGGCTCATAACAATTTGTAACACACCCTACTGCCTTCTAATTCTTAATTGCCCATTTTATTTGACGTGGTCATCTTCTACATGTGTGAACCCCTTATGCTTAACAATCTGTCCCATCTTGTATTTCACTATGACACTCTGGTTACTTTTTTTCCAGACTTCAGAAAGAGCTCTGTGAAGCCTGAAAGCATGTCCCTTCAATCAAGAGAAGATGATGCAATAAAAAGTATTACCTCAGCTACCCTGTGTCTCTCATATCCTGGGCCCAATATGACTACAACAACACTGCAAACACAAATGTTATGTGATTTAACTTTTTAAGTCTTAAATATCTTCAACTGGTGTAATAAAAAAAATTTGGAAATATACCTTAATTTTAATGTTGATTGTTTCATATATACAATTAATCAAACTTAAGTGCAAGAAATAAAGCCAAATGGTAATACTAGGGCTGTCAAGTGATTAAAAAAATTAATTGCAATTAATCGCGTGATTTAAACAATAGAACAGCATTTATTTTAAACATTTTTAGATGTTTACTACATTTTCAAATATATTAATTTCATTTACAACACAGAATACAAAGTGTACAGTGCTCACTTTATATTTATATTTGATTACAAATATTTGCACTGTAAAAAACAAAAAAAAAAGATTTTTCAGTTCACCTCCTACAAGTACTGCAGTGCAATCTCTTTATCATGAAAGTTGAACTTACAAATGTAGACTTAGGTA